ATTGCAATTATGCTCCCTCAAGGTGTCAAGTTGCTGAAGCCATCACTATTCGATGCCATGCTTTGGATATTTTGAGGATATTTACTTAGTATGTTTCGAATTTGATAGAAGACTGGCTCGTTCACTTCCAGAATAGACGAAGAGTTAAAGGGAATTCATGTACACATGACAACTTTGCGTTGCTTTTGAGTCTCTAATCGGTCCAACAGGCCAATCACTTGATTCAGTACATAGTTTTATAGTCCATTTTGACATAGTTTGAATATTCTCGATTACTGGTAACCATGTTCAGCGTGAGCTTTAGATGTCACAACTACATTTAGTTTAGAGCACAAACAAGTTACTAATAGCTGGAGTCAATAAGTCCAAAACCTCATCTAAAATGTGATACCAAATGTCCTCATTCTTTATTTCAAATAAATTGTGGTGAATAGGATTTTGTGTGAAAATGTGTTAAGAAATTCGTCGGTGGTTCCCGCTTAAAGGACCTGATAGAGCTCTATTTCTCTTCTGACGCTTTATTTTACGATAGATTTCATGTTTAAGCAGCCAATGAGACATCTTTTCTTGACTCCAGCTTCAATAGGTCATGTTTCTGTTATAGCCTATTCATCTGGGCTTGAGTGTAGTTTAGGCCAAAGCTAGGTCTCATCCGCATTACAAACGAGCTTTGAGGCATATCGTGAATATCAAGTGGAGATATGTTAGCAATCTGCTAAACAATCAGTGATTCTAGCAATAGCAATCGTTATTTAAGAATGTATCAAGAAAAGATTTTTTTCGAAGAATCTGTCAGTAATTTATTGTGACATGACTTTTCCTTTAAGAGATAAAGTTGATTGAAGACAATTTGTGAATTAGTCTCACAAACCGAGAAAATATTGCCTTACATTGGAGTTAAGCCTGTTGAATTGTGTAAATAATGTATCAGATCAGCATTCATAGGAATTTTAGGACAGTAGGGCGAGGACCTACTTGCATAATCCAACAACATTCACTCCTAGCCAAGGTAACTCTGTTTCGGTTTCTCATGAAACGAATTCAGGAAGCCCTTCCAATTAAATTTTTCTCAAAAAATAAAGTCATATCGAAACAATCACTAACAATTTTCAAACATGACTTGCCTAGAAATTCGCATTTACCCGGAGGACCACTGACCCACGCGCCACTCTGTAGTAGACTGACGACATGTCTCTACATAAGCACAATCCTTCTTCGAATACCTTTTGGGGTATTTATTAGAGCCAGATGAGATCGACTTTACCGTCTGACTCGGCAAAGCAAACTTTTAGGAAATAAGGCTCCTTGAAATTTGATAAAATTGCGAAACCTCCTCAATTAATTGTGAGATAAATTCCATTAGTGCTATATATACCAGGAAAAAGGCATGACTATGTCTGCCTACTTCCGAATCTACGTCTCGTCGAGTTGATGAGACTAACAAATATATACAGCACACATTATTCTTGTAATTTGTTCTGACACGTAAGCAATAGCAGACTTACATTCTTGACCTGAAACTAGTAGATTAGCTAATGCCTGCGAGGTGAAAAAACAAGAGGAAGCCCTATTTGAAAGAGAATGTCGGAAACAGACTGCGTCAATCTAAAAGCTTCTAAGCAACAAGATTCTGGCATACTCCTTTAATACGACCGATTTACGAAGCTCTTTAAGTTATTTCACACAAAGCAATAGTCATCATAGCTTTTTTTTCATATAAGCTTTGTCGTAATTATGTTAGTCTTCGTTTTGCCAAATGTTGGGTTAAATTGTTTAAGGTCCTTTTGAATGTATCTTTGTTCAACAACTCCAGGTTGGGAAAATCCAATTAATAAAAAATCATTTATTTTAATAATTCATAACTTTGTTTTTTACAGGTCCTCGATTTGTCCTATTGATGGGGCTTTGGTGCATCCACCCAAAGCCCTAAAATTAGCTCCTCCAATTGACTCCGTTCCCAACATGATGTTGATTTCTACACAGCCTCCCAGAATCTTAAAGGGTCAAATGTTAGGCGGTCGTCTTATGAAAGAGCCCAACAACAGTTCATCCTCTCGGCTTGGCATCCTTCGCTCTGAGAATTCAGGAGATAGTCTGGTAAGCAAAGCAATTCATTATCTCGTCTGATTTTTTTGAACTGATAGCGTGTCTGCTTGCGATTACTTGTAGAAACGGCTTGATATTTTTGTACCTAAATTCATATTTACATTTTTCTCCAAATGACCGTACTTATCAAGTCTGTACTGTATGGTAGAGTAGAATTCACCGAAAACGTTAAGGATTCTTTCCAACGCATCGTAGAATAATTATCCTCGGGTTACACGACGAAGTTGATGCAAATGAAAATAAACAATCTGATAAATTTGTAATAATATCTGAAACTTATACACTGTCTATAAACTTGAGTCCCACTACTTATTGTTTAAAAGCTTTGATGGCCTGGATTTAATAGTGGTTTTACTTTGTTTTGCGAAATTTGATCATATTATCAGAGGTGCTTAGATGAAAGCATCATAGTAACTACGATAATTTTCACAGTCGGACTGTGGACTTGGTACTTCTGATGTCTTGCCGGTATCGTCAGTAAGCCTTGCCATTTTTATCAACACACTACAACTCTTCAAAGAGAGTAAAGATTGTTATCATGAATCGTTTTATCATCAGAAGCCCAAGGGTAACTGACATGGAGTTATCAAGAGGACTAGATCAAAAAATCTGTCTGATAAAAAGAAACAGAAATAGCAGGAAAAAACCCTTTACGAGCAATCGAAACTCGAGAGCAGACGTCTGCTCTAATCATATTTAAACTAACTAATGCGCTACACCATTTTAGTAGTTAAGACAGAAGGGATTAGGGAATAAAATAGTCATATATTTTGCATCATTGATAGAAATGTAAGGCCAATTGGAGCAGAATCCCACACGCTATGAAAACTAGAGAATTCTGGCTTACTGTAGACGGATTTGCTCATAAATGTGGTCCATGAAGTTATGGGCCAATAATTAGATTTAACCTGTACACAGTCTAAGCTATGATAATAGAAACTATAATATTAAATTAGTCTTACATTAATCATTAGAGTCTAGGCTTTGTGAGTCTGTCAAGTGAGGCTAGAGTATGAATGCTATCAAGCCTTTGAGGCATAATGTGAGAATTTACGCTTCGACTAGCACAAATATGGTTCACTGGAAGAATAAAACTACTGAACAGGGGAGATAAAAGATAGATCTTACAGAACGAGAGGAAGTATAATATTGATATTTTAACAACAATGAGGAAGATTTGGGAACCAGTTGGACCTGTGAGTAGGTCATAATAAGTCTTCTAAAAATGGGACACCAGGATTTGGCTAAAATAATCAGGTTAGAAGTTGTGATAGTAAAGAAGTTGATGCATAATTATGAGTAAAGTAAATGCATCAAGATAGAAGGAGAGATATCATAACTGTCCAGCAGTGAGTTGGTCGATGGATAGACTTCATTTATAGATACAAGAAGAGTAAATGGGTATGTATAGTCTGTTTATTGAGCTCAGTCTAACTGTTGGACAAGTGTGAGTGAAGTTAAACCCTGCCCGAGCTTGCAGATTGCTGCAACATATTTTGGATGGCGGTTCAAAAATTATCTTAAGCATAATTAGTTTTTACTTAACCTTTTAACACCGTTCCTGAACTTCAATTTACTTCCTCATCTATCAATTTCAATAGCTGAAGATAGAGAGCTTAGAAAAATTAAGAAAACAGCCAGCATCATGACTAGGAAAACGAGAGGAGACAATTGAGTAAGAAGTATTTGTGACTGTTGGCTAGAAATAAAGGAGAAAAGAAGGAACCACCGAACATGAAAAGGAGGCTGTATTAGCCCCATGTTTAGCTACAACTATAACTTTTTTTATGAAATGAACATTAAATAGGTGCACTAGACAATACAATAAACCCAAACATGAGACACCGTTATAAGATT